ATCTGATCTGTCTAGGTTCGCTCACTTGGCTTTAAAAATCACTTTAGGGATTTACGGGCTGATTTTGAAAATTTATTGTCTTTGAGGCATTCTAGAATTATCTGAAATATTTCTAAGTCTGGAACTAAAATCTAACTTAAATCTAGTCTGACTGAAATCTAAACTATATCTGGATCTTTAATCTATCTAGAATCTTAACTTTATCTAAAATCTTAAATATATCTGAAATCTTAATCTGACTGAATCTGAAATATATCTCGAACCATCCGGACTGACTGGACAGGTTCAACCGAACTGGACCGACAGCTCACTCGGATTTGGTCGGTCATTCGCTTGACTATGTGCAGCTCGGTTTAACCATGGTCTGAGTTCGGCGTGGCAACTCGGGCCGGCATGAACTCGACTGACACGGCTTAGCCGATGCACAAGTTTGAAAAGATGCCACGGTCACTAATGCAGGGGCGTGTTTGGACCACGACTATCGGAACGGTGCGTAGACGGCAAGTCGAATGTACTCGGTGCACGGGCACACACTCGGGGGTTGATTCAGAATTGGTGCACGGGCACGCACTCGGCGGTTCGGCTCCAACAGTCGGACGAGGGACGGTCACATGCGCGAGACTAAGATACGCATTACGAATTGACGATACGACGACTAATAATTATCCAGACGGTTCTAGGGTTCAATCATTTAAAAGCGGATCCAGAAATATCCCCAGTTATCGGAACCGGATAAATCTAGGGTTCGATTCTTGAAATTCCTAACTCGTTTAAGTCTGATAATTAATATATATTCTATGTGATTTTTACCGATTTTATAATCAACCACTACAGCTAAAATCATATACGACTAATTTTCTATATTAATAGCGAAATGGGGCTAAGTCTCGATCTTTAATCGAGGTCAAAACGATGTTAAAAAATTTTGAAATTCACAACACACCATCCTCATCACATACATGGTCCATGGTCAAAATATCGCGACAAAAATCAACTCCTAACCCATTCAACTCAAAATCGCTTCAACCGGTCAACATATTCACAATTCTCGTTCAACTATCAAACAAACTCTAAAATTTTCCAAAATTAAACCCTAGCCTCAAGACAATTTAGCATGATTTATAAAATTAAAACTATGATTCTATCATTTATATAAACCGATATTGAAAAATCATCGCTTCAAGCTCGTAA